AAATAATGGCAGAAATACATTTTACCTTTGATTTATTTATCTTCTGCTGCTTAATCTTTAGACATGATCTCTGAAAAGATAAACGCTGGCCCACACGGGCTTTTTGTGTGATTGTTGCTTTTGACCCAGTGCACTCGAACGGGGCAGTTACAGCGTTGAGAGGTTACTTTGAGCACTTGAATGCAACAATATGGAGCTGAAGTGCCACAGTGTGGAGACAGGGATGCCCTCTTTGGCAGCTTGGCTGGCTGCAGCCGCTGTGGTGGGAACTCAGAAGAATTAATTAACAGCAGTCGAACCACAAGCCTGTGACCTGCACATATATACTGAATACACCTGCAATATCAACCTGCAGGAAAAAAAACCCCAGCTGATTCACAGGTCAGGCATTCACAAGTCTTTCCAAAGCACAAAATTATGTCCAAATTGGCTCATGTGATAATTAATAGTGAACTTTAATACCTCATAGTATTCATGTAAGTGATATCTGTACTTTAATGATTATTGGGGCTCTAGTTTGGGAGAACCCCCCCCCCAAAACAAACAAACAAACAAACAAACAAACAAAAACAAACAAAAACAAACAAAAAACAAACAAACCCCAACACAGAACAAAAATACTTGTGGTTCACGAGACCTTTCCAGTCAATAATGTGTGTTCTTTATATTTCATTAAGCTCTTTGCTGTTATTTATTTATGGGCATTTTTTGGTTGTTGTCATTATAACAAAACTGTAAATAATAGCCAGCGTTAGTTGTGCAGATAGATGTGAAGAAAAATAGTAAATGGATCCAGATCAATAGATTTCCCACTAATCTGTTCATAACATTTGAAGTAATCGTTCACTTTATTGAAACTAGAGAGCCATTTCTATTTTTACATAGATTTTTATATGCTTTACATATAGTATTCTATCAGATTTTATTTTACCTCACTTTTTAGATTCAACTGAGTTACTTTCCCTTTTATCTTTTGTTGGTCTAATTTGTTTTGAGCTTTTCTCTTTAAGCTACTTTGTTGTAGGTTATGTTTATCATTCTGGAGGAGCTGGAGTACTTGCAGATTCTTCACTTTCAGACCCAAAACTGGGAAAATATTTTATAATTTCACAAACCTTTTGGCTGTGGACCAGTGTGATTAATTTGCAGACTCATTCTTGAGGGTTTCCTCTCCAACATGTGATGAGAAAAATGTGGTCAGCAGTTTTGGTTTGATTCGATGTGGAAAACTGACATCAGAGAAGTAAAATAAGCTGCTAGACCAGGGGTGTCAAACGTAGGCCCCGGTGACCAGAATCAGCCGAGCAATCGAGCCCACTGGACAGCTTTGGAAAATGTAATTGTCATTTATACTACACCAAAGTAAACAAGATAAACAACAGAAAGTTCCTGTTTGTTCATTATCTGCTAAAGAAATGTATGTTTGTTTGTTTTTTGTGTGGTTTCACAGAACAAAGCACATTTTCTGTGAATTAATGAAAACTTTATATTTTATAATTACAGGGCAGTTTTGGCCATGAAAATCCAGAACATATTCTGTAGTTGTACATCTAGATTTTTAAGACATAGCACCCCCAAATGCCACATAGGTAGACACACTAAGCAGATAGTCACAATAAACAGTTCTTGTTTATTCACGGTTCATTTCTTACACTGTTCAAGTACAAAGTTAAAATGCCTTTTTAATTAGTTCATATTCATACAAGAGTAAAATAATAATAGTGCCTTTCTTCACTACCGCAAACATAAATACAGTAAATGTAAAGACAAACTTGATTTATACTCCTAACAATAAATTTTTCTTGTTTTCAGATAAAATTTTAGCACCTTTTGAAACACCAACAGGTCCTCCTTTTCCTAAAAGCTCATCTTACATTTAGTCCATGAGATGAGTGTCTGCATGCGCCACAGCATTGTATTTGTAGGTGTTGTGCATGTATCTCTGCGTGTGAGCGTCGGTTGCTCTGTGTCATAGCAGTGTGTGTTTGTCTGTGTATGTATGTGTGTGTTTGAAAGTGTATCAGTGTTTAAAACAGCGCATCACTCAGCCTAAAAGCTGTCGATAGGCGAACAGAAACATCATCACCGTATCATCCATCACTTAAAAACGTCAGCTCCTTTCCTCACACTTTTCCCCCCCCATGGAGCTCTCACACAGAGACGTGTTGGAGAAAAGGAAAATAAACAGCTGGAAACTGTAAACAGGCTGAAAATCGTCATGCCTGTGCTGAACCAGCAGCCTCCAGAGCAAATATAACAAACGCCGGTGAGCCCCAAGACTTAAACCGCTGGCAGCTGCAGTGAGTGATCACGCTTTTAATGCGATGCTCTGCTGAGAAATTTGGATCCTGGCGTACAGTCAGGTGTCACTTTGTCACAAAACGCCCACCAAGCAATGGCTTACATGTCAAGCTCACACATTTTATGGCAAGGGCACTCCCCAATGGCAGTGGTCTCCCTCAGCACACCACAAATATGGCTCGAGGAACGCAACAACAAGCCTGATGTTTGGATGTGGCCTCTAAACTTCCCAGATTGAGGGGGGCCTATACAATATTAGGCAGGTACTTTAATATTATGGCTACTTTGGCGTGTATATACATCTAGATATAAATATCCCCATCTAAAAGTTGTGAAGTTATTTAACTGTTTAACAGCTTCTGAAGAAGCTCAGATTTCCGGTTGACCAAAACTTTAGGAACTAAGTTATTAAATTTGATTTAAATGTTTTGGCATGGATCAGATCTGCACACGGCCTTAAATAAATCTGAAATGATAAAATTCTGTGAAGCTCATGTATTTTATTAATACGTTTCTTAAGTCTCAGGACCTCCAGACTGGGAACCGCCTTGTGCCAGTGGAAATTCAGCTTTTACAGACAGCTTTAACTCAACCCGTCTCTGTTTGAGAGCATCGCGCGGCTCATAGCTTCAACGATTTAAAATAGAACAAGTCACTATACTAACTGTAATATATGCTTTCTCTAGCCTCTCTCTCTCCACTCTAGGCTGAGACTGAACTGAACTGAGCACCAACCTGGAACAGTACACACACACAATAACAGATTATTACTGTAATTATTATTACCATATTATTATTATCGTTACTCCCTAATCTAACATGGAATCGGAGATTACACTGACTGACTGACATGCAGCACCTGGGGAGGGGCAGGGCAGGGCGAGGTGGGGTTATTGGAGTGAGGGAGAGATTAGGGTAAGGGTGGGCAGGATTTGGGAGCACCAAGCGTCGTGGGCCATGATGATGTCACAGCCAGCAGCGCTGCGGAAAGCCTGATGGCGGACAGGCGGCCGGCAAGAACACAGTGTGTATGCATGTGTGAGTGTAGCGGTGTTGGGTGTTCTGTAGCGAAAGGAGAAGCGTGAAGGTTGTTTCCAGCAAATGAGAGTGTGAGTGTGTGTGAGACCTGCAGGAAGAGCACTGTAAAAAAGAGCAGAGTTTAAAAAGCACCTGAAGGTTGGTTGTAGAAACGGAGAGTAAACACGATGGAACAAAATCTTTGAACCTGCTGGCTTACTGTGGCTATGAGAGGTTGTGCATGTTTGTGTGAAGGTCTGTGTGTGTGTTTGTGTGTGTGAGACGGCATAGACTGCATGTGTCCAGTTGTTAGCTGGTATCTGAGGAAGGTCTGAGGATCGGAAGGCTTCCTGGAAAAGATGGTCGTCCGAGGACCAAAAGCACCAGACTGAAGTGTTTTCTCTAAAGGCAGCCCTGTCTAAATAAAACATACATATGAACTTGTTTCTCATGTGTGTGTGTGTGTGTGTGTGTGTGTAATAAATACAGCCACTACACTGGATGACATTTCCTCTTCACAGAGCAGCTGAGTTCATCCCAGCATGCATTGGGTGAAAGGCAGATGAAACACCCAAGAAGGCTCACACAGCTGAACCTGTGTTACATAAGGAAGCTTCTTTTTATTTATACAGGGCTATCTGTTTCAGTCACAGGAAGTAGAAAGCCAGCATATTGTCCACAGAGTAAAGTCGGCCTCTGCTTTCAGCCGACGCAGAACGGTGACTGTAGGACGTTTTGGATCCCTGTGAAGCACAGGGGGAGAACGAGTGCCAAGGGGATGGCAGACTAGTCACTTAACTGACAGTGGAGCTGAGGCACAGAAAGAAGCTGCATTGTAAGAGGAGGGAGCGTAAAATACTGCTGAGAAGAGGATGCTGAATGTCTTCTACTTCTAACCACCAATGTTTTAGGTTAATGCTTCTCGGAGGCGATGGTGCTCTGCAGGCAGAAATAATCCTGCAGAATGAGTTTAACCTCATTCTGTAAAAAACAGAAGTGCCTTAAACCTGGATTTTTTTTTGAATGACCAGCAGGGGGCAATGCAAGAAAAGACTACTGGTTATTTTAAGTTGATGGATAAAATCCTGTCCTTTATATTCCCTATGGTTGGAGTTGGAGATTGAAAGCACATAAACAGAGACACAGACACCCTGAACTGAGATCCTGGGAATTTTGCTATGTTGATAGAAGTTTAACTTCCAGGGGAAAAATACCTTCTTTCTTTTTCTTATTTCTGTTTCTTATGTCCCAGTGACCTTTGAAATTAAAGCTAATTTAGATAGTATTTCAAAACTGTCCAAATAAATGCCTCGAGGGGCTTTCTCTTTAAAGGTGCTTTTTGCAGCTGTTTGCAGCTTTTAACTAAATCCTTCACCATCAGGGGGCAGTGTTTTCCATGTGGCTCTGTTGATATGGTTTTACCCTCTGATATTTGCTTTTATTCCTCAAGAGGCCTTTCATTCATTTACTCCTTTCATTTGCCAGACTGCCAGCCTAAGTAATAATACATAAACCTGATGTGCTATCTTGTGGTACAAAGTGGTATTACATGGTCCTACTTCACCAACGGCTGATTTCTCTCTAACATATTTAAGGAATTGCCAAAATCAGCTGATCTAGACCTTCTTCTGCTAAGTTGATGTCAATTTAAAGAAAAAAAAGTTTGATTAAAACTGTTCACTTCTATTTTGAGGTGAGATTTTCATATGAAACTCGGAATACTGTTAGTATACATTTGAGTTCACTGTACATATAAAAAATAAAATATGAATAGAATGAAACAAAAGCTAAATCCAGTTTCTACTTTGGTATCTTGGCAGTATTTGGATCTTATGTTCAAATGCCAGTTCAAAAACAGACAACAAAAGCATTGGAGTTAGTGCAGTTAGTACACATTTGGAGGACACTATGCCAAGTCCTAAACAATAAATATATTTGCATTTCATGATCTCAAATCCACTCAAACACTAAATTATTTTGCACATTACTTAATGTTTGGAATTTATGATGCTGGAGAGTTGTTAGCATAACATTTTACAGAAATTTCCCATTAGCCCTAAACAATACCTTGAAGAAATAGAGGAAGTCAAAAGATAATCAAGTTAAATTTGAGATTACTTGAATTTAACTTCAAATCTATCAACCTAACATCCAATGAACGTCGTCTTCTGCCTTCAATAATGTTAACGAGGCAAACTTTGGTATAATATGATGACATCTACTTGTTCCTGATGATCATCAGCTGAGTGACATCAGAGTAATATTACATTGAAAATGAGCACCAAAGTCATTTAACAGTTGTCATCCCAGCGTAAGTGAAACACGAGGAAATATTTTCATTATTAAAAGCATTCGTGAACCTAGTGTCTGAAAACCACCAGGAAGTAATCAGTACAGTACAGAGATGGTTTGCTTATTTTTTTTCTTACAAAAAAAAAAAAAAAAAAAAAAAGAGATGGTTTGCTTGTTGTGAGGAAAGTAGAAGTAGCTTGTGTTTTATATACGGTGTATAGAGTACATTTGCAGTATGAAGTATGGTTGTCTCCCACTAGAGGGCACTCTAAACACTGAGGATGCAGACAGCAGCAAGGATGTTTCTACTGTACTAGTTTTAAATTTCATAACTTTTGTTTACATTCAGAAGGTTTTTTGCTTTTATATATGTCAGCATTTTGATCTTACAATAAGGCTGTTAAAGTTAACTGAAACTAAACCACAAATTAGTTCACTGAAATAAAACGAAAACTAACCAAAACACTTACAAAACTATATAAAATATTAAACTATACAGCAACTGTCTTCGGCTTTAGTCAATTTGTCAACCAGGTTGAGGACACCAGGATGTCTCCATCTCTGTGTTTGTTTTGTTGTATTGTATTATTCCATCATGATAAAAAAAACTACCATACATTTCATAATAAGGAGAAGTAAAACTAACACTGAAACTAAAGTGATAATAGTAAGTCCACCCTGGAGACACAAGAAACTACTGAAAAATACAAAAATCAAACATTAACAAGTAAAATAAACTCCTCAAACCACAGCTGCATCCCAATAAAATTCTGTTTTATTTTATTATTTCATATTGCTTTAGATAAAAGTGGATCTCTTTTTCTTTCTTTTCTTTGCACTGAGGTATAAATTCACCTGCAAGGATTATTTGTAGCACAAGAGCATCCTCCTCCTTTAAGAAACATTTAAAGGTTATAGTCTTATTAAGCTGTAGTCACACTAAGAAAAACGATCTATATATTAATCTGAGCTGGTCCCAAAAAGTTGATTCTGTTCATCTGGACGTAGCATTTTCAGTGACTTCCTCAGTCTCACCTGACTGCAGGTTTCCCCAACCTTATAAACAGTACCTTTGCATAATGACTAAAACTAGCACCAGTGAGTAACAATGGACTGTGAGGTCAGTTTCATGATCATAAACATGCAAATTGCCATACCATTCACAGAGAGTTGGGGAATGACTGCAATCACAGCATGAAAGTGAAAAGATGAACTCTTAGGCGTCCTCCTCAATTCAGAGATGCCATCCGCTTAGCCAGAGGTTGTTTGATTTCCCCAATGTTGGAATCATGGCAATCCTTCTGGCACTTAACAGGGTGAACTATATTACTCTGTTTGTGCTGGGGGACCTGATCCTTTGGGGGGAGCAATTTTTGGCGCTGGGTGTTTTAGGGTTTGAAAGCTACCGAGACGTGGTGTTTACAGAAAATACGTCTCAGCTGTTCTATTACTCCTGAAAAAAAAAGATCAACAAACATTTTTGCTTAGGTAGCAGTTGTCCTTCCTTCCAGGATTGCCTGGAGCTTCCTTTAGGTGTCTTCCCAGCTTTACTGAAGCCTTTGTGGTACAATGTTCTTCCACTTCCGCTGTTCACTCGAGCGAAACGTTCCTCCCATTGAAAGCGCTATGTCCAGAATCAACTTTTTGGGATTTCCTTACCTGGAGCATGCATCAAGAAATCTAAGCTGCGTTATCTTCCTTTTGGACACTCTCCTGCACCCTCATTCAATCCTTAAACCTCACAGCTACCTGTTTTGCCTGCTGTTGCCTCCACCTGCTCGTCTATTTGAACTCAAAACTGCAGCGACTGAAACAAGCAGAGACCATTCAGTCTCCAAGAGCACCAAAATCTGTAAAAGTGTTGTATTAAAGTGGCACCATTTCGATTGTATCACTGCCTGACCAGCACCACGAATGTTACGTGTGTTTGTGTCTCTTTCTGTTTTCACAACACATGAATACAGTAAAGTGTTGCGGGACTCATTGGTCTGTTTGTACGTATTCATAGAGATCTTAAAGACAGAAAAAAGGCAGGGCATCTGTGTTAGTTTGGCGCCCCCTGGAGGTTTGAACTCCAGCTGATACGACACAGTAAAGCCAGAAGACATCAGTTTCAAGGTCGGACAGGAAGTTTGTGTATGACAGAAAACTGTACCTGTGTGTGTGTGTGTGTGTATGTGTGTGTGGTAGCACGGTAGCACCAGGGGACTAAGGTCAGCCAGTGGTCTACAAGGGATCTCAGGAAGCAGTCCTTTACAGAGTGTGTATGTGAGTGTTTGTGTGTCTATGTCCGGTCATCTGTTTCATTTTGCGTCAGCCAACCTTCATGTACTGACTGTACACTGTGTATGGTTATCAGTGTCTGTTTCTGTTTATATGTGTGTGTCTGTACGTGGGAGGGAGTTGGTGTGTGTGACTAGTTGCAGGCAAAATACTCCTTCAGAGGAGCAAAAAGGTGCCTGATGACAGGGACGCTCCACGAACGCCCCAGAAGCCTTTGTCTGGCCAGACGACTCATGTTGGACACGTCGGTGTAGTGGACGGGGAAACCAAACACCCTGAAACAGACCACACAGATCATTACTTCAGACTTTAAATAGAAAAAGGTCTGTGAAGCAAAGCCAAGAAATATTTCAAATCACTTAGGATCCTAAACTTAAAAGAAGATTCTTTTTTTCATTTGAATTTGTTATATTTGTTAGTTTTTGTCTTTCAAAGATTCAAAAAGTGTATTGTCATGAGGACAAAGAAAAGCATTTCTCTGTGCAATGAAATTCTTTCTCTGCTGTCCACACACAGATGCTGGTTAATATGTGCAAATAAAATTGGAACAGATAAAATGCAAATAGTATAAATAAATAAATGGAGACAAAAACTGAAGTGTTAAATAGATTGGTGTGCAAAAGAGCTTTGAGCTTAATGCTGGTTTAATATGTAAGATGACCTGATGTGCAAAATTATTACTGTTAAAATAGTTCAGCTGTTCAAGAGTCTGACAGCAGTGGGGAAGAAGGAGTTGTTGAGTCGGGATGTTCTGGATTTCACACTTCTAAACCTTCGTCCCGAGGGCAGAAGGTGAACAGTCCATGATGGGGGTGTGTGGGGTCTTTGAGGATGGAGGCAGCTCTCCTCTGGACTCTGTGATGGTAGATGCTCTGCAAAGAGGGCAGCAGAGTCCTGATGATCTTCTCAGCAGCTGTTATTACTCTCTGCAGGCGTTTGCTGCAGTGATGCAGCTGGTCAGCGTGCTCTCCACAATGCAGCTGTAGAACTTGCTGAGGATCTTGGCCGACATACCAAATTTCCTCAGCCTCCTCAGGAAATACAGCTGCTGCTGAGCCTTCTTGACCACCTGTGTGGTGTTCAGTGTCCAGGTGAGGTCCTCAGAGATGTAGACGCCCAGGTATCTAAAGCTGCTCACCCTCTCCACTTCAAGGCCCCGGATAAACTGCGGCTGGTGATGCCTCCTCTTCTTCCTCGTGTCTACTATCATCTATTTTGTCTTTTCAGTGTTGAGGGTGAGGTTGTTGTCCTCACACCATGACACCAGACCGGCCACCTCTCTCCTGTAAGCCGCTTCATCCCCTCCAGTGATGCGACCGATCACTGCAGTGTCGTCGGACTGGGCCCTACCAGTCAAAACGTCCAGTAGCTAGTCATATAGGGTGGGGCGCAGGCCGAGTGTTGCCAGCTTGTGAGTGAGTTTGTGTGGGACTGTATTGAAGGAGGAGCTGTAATCAACAAAAAGTACCCTGATGTATGAGTATTTGTTTCCCAGATGGGAGAGGAAATAGTGAATGGCAGCAGCGATGGCGTCTGATGTGGACCTATTGGGCCAGTAGGCATACTGCAGGGGATCCAGAGTGTCTGTGATGTTGCTCTGAATGTAGGCCAGCACCACTCTCTTGAAGCACTTTGCAATGATTGGATTGCAACTGGTCTATAGTCATTTTGGCAGGTGGTTTGGCTTTTCTTGGGAAGAGGGATGATGGTTGTGGTCTTGACGAAGGTCAGCCAGTGGTCTAAAAGGGATCTCAGGAAGTAGTCCTTTACAGTATGTGTATGTGAGTGTTTATGTGTCTTAAATGTTTGCTTTTCATTTGCTTTGATTATTTTTTGTTTTAATGTTTTACTTCCTGCTTTTGTTTCTTTCCCTCCATTGAAACACGGTCAAATTATTCATTTACCTTGAATTTGACTGCTTCCACCTGTGTCTCATTTAGTAATCACCCCTCTTTTTATATGAACCCCACTTCTCATTTTACAATTTACATATATTGAAATTCTCAAATATTAGTCCCTCATTACCAAATAGTAAAGCAGAGACACAATTTCATTTCATGAAATGGGAAATCTTGTTAGTTAAACACGTGGCACAAGTTTTTAGCCCAATTAATCTCATATTGAGCTTTGTATTGTAAGACAAAGATGCTACAATAAGAGAAAGAAAACCCCACCAATCAAATGACTTCCTATAAGCAAGCACTTGGCAACAGTGGGAAGGAAAAACTCCCTTTTAACAGGAAGAAACCTCCAGCAGAACTAAGATCAGGGAGGGCCGGCCATTTGATGCGACCGTTTGAGGGTGAGGCGAGACACGTACATGATCTCAGGTCTAACATGCTTGAATTACAATCTCAACCCTACTATGTCACCATGTGACCATTTGACAGGATATAGCTTCTTTTAATAATTCAAACAAGTTCACTTTCATGCAAGAACATGCTTAAAACAATTAACCTCTTAACATCCACCTGTACAGGTATGTATATATGGATTTTTCATTTTTTAAGGTAAGCCTAAATGTAAATACAGAAGACCCATATGGTCAAAATGAAATCTAACCGTTACCCTTAGAGGTCTGCAGTCACCTGCTGGATGTTAAGAGGTAATAAAAAACCACACACACACACACAAACACGCGGCTCCTGTACCTTTCCATCTCGGTGCACCACAGTATGTCCTCCTTGTTGTCCATGTAGACGGGGAAATGCTCGTCTTTCCCCTGCTTCACAGAGTTGGAGCGTGTCGTTATCGTACGCAACTTCTCAAACTGGAATTAGCATCCAGAACCAAACACGCACAGACAGACACAAACAAACAAACCAACACACGCATCCCTTTTAATCCTACAGCCTACTCTCATTTTCAACAGCAGCTTTCTGTGATTCAGACACACAAATACACACTCTCTCACACAAACACACACACATACACACAAGTGGATACCTTGGCTGTGCGGCCATGCTCCAGGCACTCCTGTAGGTCCAGCTTGTCGTTTGCCATCGGTGTCAGTGGCCTGCAGTATTTAGAAAAGCACAACCTAAAGAAGAGTTGCATTTTCAATTCAGTAAGGAAAACTCGTAATCACCCTGCAGCTGACTTTCCCAGGTGTCCAGCTGCTGTCTGTTCTTTAATTGCTTTCGTTTTCTTATGCTTTCAAACTCAATACTGACATCATTGCTCTAATCCAATCATCTTCTTGTACACCTTCTCCAAGTCAATCACCCTTCACACTACACTTCTGTCTTTTTGCCTCTCAGATGCACATTAGTGCAACCCACCTCCTCCCCATCTCCGCCTCATCCTGGTGACTCAAAGCTCCGTGCAAGCCTCCATCTTCACCACCACCAGTGTCTAGACTCTGGGGGGTCCTGTCCTCTAATTCCTGCTACTACTGAGATTTTGTTCTGCTACGATGGGTCATCGGAGACTAATCGCCAGACAACTGTATTGAATTCTGTATCTCAATAAATCATGTTCAGTTCTTCCAAATGATCTCTCCTTACTGAAATAAAGTGAACAAACCTGTGGTGTTTGTGTGTTTGTATCACCTGGACATGCCGGGCAGGTTTCCCCAGAAATAGCGAGCGCGGTGGGCAGCAGAAACCTCCTTGGCGTCGATCATCACTGGGTTGCACTGAAGAGGAATATGAATGTTATGTCATACTGCACCACGGCCCTGAAGACTTACTTTTGACCTAACTAATGGATGGATGGATAAATGGATCCTAACAACCTTCTGTACCACAACTGAGAATGTCCTGTGGGGATGTAGTTGGGGGGCTTTTTTAAAATTTCACTTACAGAATAACTGCTGTGGGTTTGTTTGCCGTACCTCTAGAAAGCGGGAGATGTCCCGTTTGTCGCTGACTCCCATAGCGACCACGTTCTCAAACAGCCAGAAGAACGGCCTCTCGTCGCCGGGTTTTGGCCGCGCCTCATGCAGCAGACGGTAAAACTCAAAAAACAACCGGCCGGTCCCCTCTGAAGGAAGACAGGGAAAGTTCAGCCTCCTTATTTCATTTAGCACAACGAGCAACAAGTAAATGATTATACGAGTGCTTCCTACCATAAAGTCCTTTCCTTGCAGGGTTGACTATGGAAAGGTCGTTGCAGGGGCTTCCTCCTATCACCAGGTCAAATGGTCCCCATTTATCGATCTGCCGGTGGAAACACAGCACGTTAAAGTTTACTGCCTTTAACATAATGTGAGGAAATTTTTCTGGTTACGTTGTGGTTTTGAGGAGCAATAATGATTTCTCTTACATGTTTGCGAGTTACGGTGCGTACGTCTCCCACGTACATGATGCGTCCCTCGTGTCGAACCATGCCGACAGTGATGGAGTCTTCACACACTTCTGATGCAACATACTTTTCGACCTGGATGCCCAAATCTTTCAGCACCAGAAGACCTGACAGACACACAAACATCATGCTAAAAACTCTTTAAGGGTTTAGGTTTTAAGATGGCGCGGCCACGTCCAGACGCCTTCCTGACTGCTCCGCGCAGACTATGCACCTTTTTTAGTTGTTTATTTATTTATTGCTTTGTTACCTAATGCATAACTACTGCCTTACAACTGAGGACTTTCAAGTCAGGACTTTCCATATAGGTGCTGTGGAGAGCATCCTCACACAGAACATTGCATCCTGGTATGGGAAGAGCTTTGTTAAGGACCAAAAAGGTCTTCAGAGAGTGATCCATACAGCAGAACGCTGCTGCAGGGCTGCTCTCGCCTCCCTTCAGGACATTTACAACAGGAGATGCTGGTCCAGAGCAGCTCAGATATTGAAGGACCCGTCCCATCCCAGCAACAAACTGTTCCGACTTCTGCAATCAGGCAGAAGGCTCCGCGCCATCCGAGCAAAAACAGAGAGGCTCAAGAGAAGCGAGTGACACAGGAGTCATTGTTACCACATTCGCATATCATTCCTGATCCTTCTGGCTTCACTACGGCACAAGACACTTTAACACCCCACTCACACAATGTACGGTCTCAGATTTATTTATTTTATTTATTTATATAATGTATATAACTCACTCACTTACTGCATGCACATAATGTCCTCTTTGTATATATTCACTCACTATATATAATGTTCTCTCTCTTTGCACAGTCATGGAGCGTATCAGGTCACATTTCACTGCGTCTTGTACTTATATAACTACGCATGTGAAAAATAAACAATCTTGAATCTTATTATAAATGTTTATCTTTTAAAATAGATATAAATCCTTCCAAAATACTCAAAGCTTCTAACAGAATGTGGTGAAACAACATTTATAACATACAGCATTTATAACAAATACTTAAACCCGCACAGTCAGAACGCCAGGCTGAGCCAATACCAGCTGTTCATGTTTGTCGTGTTCATTTTTAACTGCTTTGACAACTTTGGGATGGATGAAGTAAATCTTACTTTGTCTTCACATTTCTGTTTTATACTTCCACTTAACCACTTTTCTCATTTACCATTAAATTCACTTGCTTTATTTTTGTTTTATGTGTATCTGTATTATTTTTTATTTCATTTTCAATGGCAAGCTCTTCAATGAAGAAGAGATTTTAATCTGAGAATATCGTGAGCTGCACCAAACTTTTTTTCTGCGACTTAAACTGCGTGGAATAAGGATGTGACAGGATATCTTTATATTTCTTTTTGTTTCTTATTTAAAGCAACACACCCCGATTATGATGGCACAAGTCGTAAGGATAAAGGATCATATTAACCTGTTAATCAATAATTTATTGATGATGAGAATAGTGGTTAATTGCCGCTCAGCACTTACACACCTGTGGCAATGCCATCGAATAAAGAGAGGACTCTGATTGGTTGCCTCTTCTCTGCTGCAACTGGGGGATACAACTTGGCCGGCTCCTGAGAGAGGGTTAAGAGGAAGAGGAGATCAAATGAGATATCAAACTCTACAGTACGCAAAGGCAGAGAGCTTCTCCTGATAATGATCTGCTCTTTACTAAAGAAAAAAGTCAAGAAGAAGAAGAAGGAGAGAATATCAATAGTAAAGGTGAACATGATCTGTTTTGATGTGCATTAACCTTCGTGGATAATTGAGAGCTGACGAGCCCTGGAGCGTAACCCACACTGATCTCCAGATAATTATGTTTCCAGCTAACTGTAATGATTCACACTTCAAAGTTCTATAAAGGTTATGACAAGAGATAAGATGTAAAGTGGCAGATACATTAAATTTAGCACAATCCATTGATTTACAGCATGCAATGTGAGCTTAAATAAGATGTCTGATATTCACAGGCTGCTGTAAGAAGAAATACAGTACCGAAGAGCAGGATGTTTATTAATACAATATAAAAGCAGCTTAATGAGCCATCTGAATTTGATGTTACCACTTACACAGCGACACTTCGGTGTCATAGCCCCCCCATGCTTCATAACAGCTATTCTCAAACTGCATTTTTAAATGGGCTATTGGTAGGGACTGAAAGAATGAAACTTGAGCTACAAACATTTGAAAACGAGTATTATTCTCCAGACTCTGTATTTATGCAGCCTTAATTAGTTTTTCATTAGTATTGTGGTTATGATGGCTAGCGTTGATCCATAAATTGCTGTTGAACTGCAGGTTAATGAATCCTGACAGGAATTCTGAGGCACCCCCTCTACCCCTTAGCCTGGAGGAGGCTTTAATGTGCTTTACCTGGTAATGATCTGGGCGGATGGTAATGAGGTGAGACACCTGTAAATGTTTAAACATCTGTTAACTGGCGGGAATCACAGACGCCCTCTTCGTGTTGTTGTTTGGATATGGGAATAGATTTATTGCTCGTCTATAAATGTGGGCTCGAGCTCGCAGCCTCTCTCTTCCACCGGGTCATTCGGTTCGCTGGAACTTTGGTTGCTTTATTTATTGTTTTACTTGCTCGTGATGAACTCGCTGCATTAGTTATGTGTGGTAATTCTTTCCTACCTGTTGATCCTCGGTCGTGATGTGGCTAATTATTAAACTTGCAAATTGTAATCACAGCACATAAGAAGGTATATCTACAGTCATATTATCTACAAGTAAAGTAAAGTGAAAGTAAGAAAATATGTCTGCTTTTGGTTTCTCACACTGGCATGTGTAAATATCTGGGAATCCCCTTACTTCTGAAACAACCAGGACTTCATTAACGTGTTAGATGTTATGATGGAGGTCTTTAATCTTCATTAAGACTTTCACAGTTGATAAATTCTCTGGTCCTTCAGCCTTCATGGTAACGCAGAACAAAAGCAAGATATCAAAGTGCTTCCTGCCTGGTGTTTCCACCTTGTGACAGATGGCAGTTAAAGGGAACTTTGACACTCGAGATCTGGAAGAAACTATAGGCATCGCATATGAATGGCGTATCATGTGATATGATATGACATCATATGAAGAGCAGCATCTGGACAGGATAGAGCTGATTTGGAGGAAATTTTTTGGACTTGAAGCTGTGTAGCACCAAGTGTCAGGAATTCTCGAAACAGATGTCTGGCAGCCAGTCAGTAAAGTGAAACAGAAATAAATCTGGCTTCTACAACAGGTCTGTGATCCAAAGCAGATTTGAGAATCTGCAGCGAGCTACAAGAAGCACGAGCATCTCCTAACTGTTCCACACTTTTATTTTAAAAAAAGAGGCAATCATGCTTTTGAGGTTGTAGCTACCAAATGTTAGAACAGCCTTCCTCGGCCTATCAGGTCAGCCAAATGACTGGTTTGTTTTAAACAATCACTAAAAGCTAAGTTCTCTAGGTTAGCTTTTGCTTAATCTTTCACCCATTATTTTTGGCCTTTTGTTCTTCTGATATGTCTGTATAGGAGTGTGTATGCAGGAGTGAAAGACCCATGTGTTTGACTGTCTGTATGCATGTATTATATCTATATGGATCTCTCTTCATTCATCAAATATGGCGCCACTTTTTTCTAGAAGGACTCTCCTACATTATGAAAACAGTGTTAAAAACAGATCTGGACAAACTTTTTTGCTCTTTAACAATCCACACAAATCAATTACAACATGTGATAATAAAAGATTACTAATTTATCACCTCTGACACTCTTAACAACCAACAAGGCAATTCAAGCCCAACGAGTAAGGGAAATTGTTTTGTAGGAAGAGAGCATTCAAACTTACAAATTCCTGCTCGTGGTTGTTGGCAAAGAAATGCTGTAGTCTGCAGGGCCAGTCATCCCGCCGTCGCAGTAGGCCGTAGGTGTTGCGGGGTCCACACATGTAGCAGTTCCAGGGGTCTTCTTTGATGGCTGCCGCTGCCGAGCCAGCCCCGACCAGGAGATCCACGCACTCCACACAAAAACACCTAAACGCACACACAGCAATTCATTATGTCTCCTGTCTATTTACCCACTCACTAACATGTCTTTGTCAAGTAACAAATAAAGTTCAGCCTTTGAACAGTGCAAGTCTCAGAGAAATTCCAAAAATAAAAGAGACTCGTAGGCTTCGTCTCGAACTCTACTGACAGTGCAATTAGAAGAAGACTGAAAAAGTATGACCTGTTTGTAAGGGTTGCTGGGAAAAAGCCTCTTTTCTCTAAAAAGAACATGGCAGCATGGCTTAGGTTTACAAATTAAATCTGAAGAAACAACAGACTTCTGGAACAAAGTCCTTTGGACATTCAAGACCAAAGTGGAGATAACTGGCCATAATGCACAACACTCAATTTAGCATATCAGCATAAACACCCCAAACCTGCTGCAATTATAGCTGCCAGTCTTTTAGGGTATGTCTCTACCAGCTTTGCACATCTAGAGACTGAAATCCTTGCCCATTCTTGCAGCTCTACAACAGAATGGCTGAAACTTCAGTGAACGTGAATAACATTGTAAGGAACAGTGAACCAAAATTCCTTTACTAGGAGATGAGGATCTCATTAAGTCATACAGAAAACAAATACTTCAAGTTGTTGCTGCTTAAGGTGAACCTACAAACTACTGAAGGTGTTGAGGTGTACCTGGCTTTTTACAGGACTGCAGAGAGTTCTTTGAAAAAACCACTTTGGACTGAAGCTCATTATTTTCATGTCTGATCTCTGCTCTGTTTGCAGTGAAAGGATTAGAGCCGAGATGCCAAAATCAACTGTGTACTCTCTTTTGAAATAAACAAATCCACATGAGCTTTGTGCCAATAAAGAAAGTGATTTATCACGTTTGGACATTTAGGTGTAAACTGTTCCTGTACATGTGAAATTGAAAACCTTAGCAGGACCTGAATGTGTTGAAAGAAGCTGCTGTTTGCAAACCCCTGATACTGACCTACAGCAGTTGTTGTTGCCACACATGAGCACTTCCCTGCCTCCACAGCAGATGGTGCAGTAGGACTGGTAGCCATCATCGTCATACTGGTAGGCGCACTCCAGGAACGAGTTCTGCCGAGGAGCAAAGCACAAGTTTTTTTTGTTTCTCCTTCTGTTCATTGAGTTTATTTTTACATGCCTGTGAACTACAACAGATTACCAATATGTAACCGATGTTCCAATAATATTGTCACTGCTTCCAAAACAGCTAGCTGCTTGGATTTTTCCCCTGGGGAAATGCAGCTTCCACACATACTGGGTGAGATATTTGTTGCTGGAAGAAATTTATCATGGAAAAACATTTTCTGGTTCCAGCTTCCCAAATGTGAGAATTTGAGACTCTTTGTATTATTTAGTATTGTTCTTAATATCTTTGTGGTCTGGATTGTTTTTTCATTCACTTTTGCATGTTGACAGGCAAAAATACTCAGTTAATAATAATAAGAGTGATTAGTTGCAGCCTTGGAGAACTGTACACACAGGAACCTTCATGTTGAACATGCAGAATCTGAGCATAACAGCTGAGATTTGGGGTATTCTGGGGCTGTCTGGGGTCTGTTTATGCTCACATCGTGTGAGTTCTTTTGACCAATCACATGCTACCTGATTACTTGAACTCAGTAGTAAGTTCAGTTTAAAATCACCTGGAAGTGCCAAATATTCATAGTTTGTTTGTTTTATAAGTGTTATATAGAGTTAAAGCATTGTGTTTTATATATGAGACCTTTAAAGCTGTAGCTCAACACCACTGAATAAAGCTCTGCAGTAAAAGCTACAGCAGTGCAATTGTACGTAGCATTATTGGGAAAACTTGTGATGCTGAAAAATGTATGAATATAGTCAAACTAATTTCACAAACTAACTCCTTCATCCACCTGTGGGACAGTCAGATTTGACCACACTGAGAAACCTTTCATGTTTAACCTTTCATGACCAACCTGTGCTTTGGCCTCCGCTCACAGTCCAGAGACATGCTTGTTAGGTTAATTGGTGATTCTAAATTGGCTGTACATGTGGGTGCGAACGGTTGTCTGTCTATCTGAGTGCACGCCGCCTGTACAGTTTGGATAGACTACAGCCCCTCTGTGACCTTAGGCTGGATAAGCAATTAAGAAAATAACATATAATAAATAATAAATAATAAAAAGAGGGATTCTCACCTTGCAGCCCTGGCACATTGCTCCTACAAACAGAGGATGCTCCAGGGAGACATTGAGGCTTCCACAGGAGATGCAGATATCTGAACAAAAACAGAGAGAAAATACAGACAAACTAAATCTACAGCATTTGTTAGTTTGTTTAAGTGTCTGTTTATATGTACTTTGACATTTTGTAGACAGTAAACACATCAGCTATTTGTCTAAAATGTGGGGACAGTTAAAAGGCCTGAATCAGATAACGAGACAGACTGCTGGAATAAGGTCTCAGCACATCTGCTATGCTAAGACAATCTGGGGCCGTATAGGGTTTGTGTGATTAAAATTAATAAATAAAATGAACTCTAAATTTTACAGGAAAGAGCAGAAAAAGTAGGAGTGATATGCAGTCGTTGGCTGGTCCAATTGAAGGCAGGTTATACAGATCTAGTAAAACTGATTTATTTTACTGCTTATGCTTAACAAGCGAAAGCTTAATAATAGTCCTTTATTCTTTTTTATTAGATGAATTTGAGAGACAACTACGAACCAAATGCCGGTTTAAGGAGATAAAGCATTTTTAAAGGATTGTGTCAATCTTTGTTAATCCTTTATTAATATTTTGTGTCATGTTATTACTCAACTTTGAATCTTCTGGATCCAAGGTTAACCAAAGCTAAGACAAAAGAAATACTAGAAAGAAAATAAAGTATCCCTTCTTTGGTTTAAATATGAATGACGGTTAAACAACTGGAGATGCTTTTACCTTCTATATTCCTGGTCTTCTTTTTGATCTCAAATATAAGTCTCTCTGGAAAACAAAACACAAGTTAGTTCAAATACATATAAACAATAACAACAATACAAGTTTAATAGAAGGTATGATATTATCAGCCTAGTGTGGGTTTAAAAGAAAGCGGAATATTAAACAACAATCTGTGTTTTCGTTTTACATGCTAAATGGACAAAATAAAAAGAAAGTTTTTTTTTATTTATTTCAATTTTTTTTTTTTTGCATTTTTACCTCTGGTCCCTTCGTCGATCACCTCTCTGATCTTTGCTTTTTCTTGCGTGTTTTTGCGTGGTTTCTTTGCAGGTGGAGGTGTGTACGCAGCCTCAGGCTCCCCCCACATCTCTGGGTACACTTCCTTATATGGATTTTGTTCCTCTGTAGAGATAGGGGCATGAAGTTAACACATGGACACATTAAATGAACTAAAGCAGGGCAATGTTTGTACTGAGAGAGATCCATACAGCTTTATGGAGCGTACTTTTGATAACTGATAAATGTTTTTGCTTTCAGCCCCACTTTTCCTGTCAGTAATGACAATTTCTATGGTTTAGATAGAAATTGTTGCAGTAAATATTCTTTTTAGGATACGGGTCTTTTCTACATACAAATAATTTGTAACTTTTCCCAAAGGAAAATCACAAAGGTTGTAAAACAAAAACAGAAGTTTAACAGTTTCACCTGATTCTTTAAGTAAGACTTCATTTACTAAAGCAAAAACACATTTGGTTACCCAAAT